GCTGTGTGTGTGTGTGTGTACAGTGTGCCTTGTGCATATAAGTCCATCTGAGACTCTGATACTGGTATTGTTTATTTGGAGACAGGATATTGTAGCCATGACTGTCCTAGAACTCATTCTGTAGACCAAAGGCTGGCTTTGAACTCAGAAGAGATCCACCTGCCTCTGCCTCCAGAGTACTAAGATTAAAAAGAGCATGTGCCTATCTTGCTATGGTTTTCTTACTAAACAGTAAGCATAGCAAGATTTACACTAAATGAGTGTGGAAAAGGATAAGAAACCCACGAGGTCTAAAAATACAAGCTCAGTGGTTAGAGATGGCTCAGCAGTTCAGAGCACATACTGCTTTGGCAAAGGATCAGAGTTCAGTTCCCAGCACCCAAATCAGGTCGCTCTCAATTACTGTACCTCCAGCTTTGGGGGATCTGAATTCATGTGCGCACACACACGATTTCAAACTGAAAACTTATTTAAAGAATGAAAACGTGGGGGCTGGAGAGATGGCTCAGAGGTTAAGAGCACTGGCTGCTCTTCCGGAGGTCCTGAGTTCAATTCCCAGCAACCACATGGTGGTTCACAACCATCTGTACTGAGATCTGGCGCCCTCTTCTGGCCTGCAGGCACACATGGAGGCTGAACACTGTGTACATAAAAAATAAATCTAAAAAAAAAGAGAGAAAGAAAGAAAGAGAGAAAGAAAGAAAGGAAGAAAGAAAGAAAGAAAGAAAGAAAGAAAGAAAGAAAGAAAGAAAACGTTTGAGAACTATACCACCGTTGGGAGCATGGAATGATGCCCAAAATAGGGGTGCAAACACAATGCTTTCAGGAGTCAGGCCCCTGATGGAAGTGAGAAGCCCACAGAGTGAGAAGACTGGAGGTGGGACCCACTGGGCACAGATGTAAACACATGCTAGAGTTTCAGCTGAAAATCTAAATCTTTAGGAAGTGATTGACAGCTAGCAAGACAGCAGTCCTTCAAATGCCTCCAACCTCTGCTCACTGTCGTAGTTGCTCATATATTAAGACTGGATATTTGCCAAGCAAAGAGGCACTAGGGAGGCAAAGGCAGGAGAATCAAAAGTCTGAAGCTAGCCTGGCTACCTAGCAAGTTCCAAGTCAACCTTAAGCACCTAAAAAGACCCTCTCTCAAGAAAACAAAATGAGCCACAGGTGGTGTCCCACACCTGTGATCCAGCACTTCAGAGGAAAGGCAGGGGCTCTGTGAGATTGAGGCCACCTGGTCTGTCTCAGGAGTTCCAGGACAGCCAGAGCTACATAACAGACCCATTTCAAAAACAAACAAACAAAAAAGGCAGGGCTGGGAATGTATTCAGATGTACAGGCTAACGTGCACAAAGACCTCACTTTCCTGAGCACTCACAAGCCAGCCAACCTCGCCAAAATGTGAGCTATGGTTGAGATAAGGTAGAAAGCAACAGAAGAAGACACTCTAACCTCCAAACGTGGTGCACTAGAACCATGCCCACACACACTTAGACTGAGATAGCACTGTGTGCACTTGGAATCCCATGGCAGTGTAAACAGGCAATGTCAGATAGCCAAGGACACATAAAATAAAAATAGAGAAGATGATTGAACTGGTTAAGGTAGTATTTCACATTTAGTTCCTGTATCTAAAAAGCTGAGACAGTAGGAGCATAAATTCAAGGTCAGCTAGATTATAGAATATCTTGTCCCAAAAAAAA